ATGATGGAATTTGCCCTCTTCTTTACAAATTCTCACAGGAGCAAGCCCATAGATACACCTTTGTGTAGGGCATGCAAGAAACAGAAGATTACTTCACATGATACTCCAATGCTCTTTAATCTCACACTTCCTAAAAATAATATTTGAAAATTGAAGACAAAAACAACAACAAACAAAATTTGAAAATCTTTCTTGCAAGATGCAGAAAATACTCTCACACACTGTTCATCAACAAATTGCTCGTGATTCCAGTTTTCACTGAGTTACAGTTCCCACAATATCTAAGTAGATTGCATAAATCACGTTCAGTTGTCATTTAGATGCAATTTAACTACATATGACTTCGCTTTTCCTGGTACAGGGAGATGGCCTGGAGTCCTGCCTGTTCATTTTCAGGTGTTTTTATTTTGTTTTTGTTTTGTTTTGTTTTTGTTTTGATACTCTGATGAGAAAAAATAATGTAAAAGATGATATGCAAAAGGTATTAAGCAAGGCAGGCTTCCAGTCCCTGTTTAGAATTCATAGATGTTACTTGGCAACTTCTAATATTTGATGATAACAAACTCATCTTTCAGGTGAGAGCTTGCAGAGGAGTACATGCAGTTTGCAAAGCAATGTCATTATTCCTGAAATAACACTTTTTTCTGGCATGCTGCCTTTATGACTATATTTGGGACCATTGCCAGCAATTTTAAATGTGGCTCATGATATTCTCAGTGCACTTCTGTATAAAATTCAGTCACTATTGTGCACTTTGCTACAGCATTCAATGATACCACTTTCAATACATATGTATGCTGGTACGTCATGTAAATGTTGCACCTGAGCATTACTGCTTATCTCAACAGAACAAGGACATTCCTCTTAGGAATTCTTTGGAAGAAAGGTTACCATCAAACTTTAAGGAGAAAGTGCATTAAATCCTCCTTTGGAAGCTGGCACTAAATCTCTCAGCAGGAAATTGAACACAAAACATGTGTTTGACATGAGGAGTCGACTTTTCAGATCTGAGCTGTAGTCAAACCAACTGTATTATAGAGAAAGGAATAAATGCCTTTCACTTGGTAGGATTCTGACAGAAGCATCATTTAGCCACAGTGAGGACTAACAGGGCTACTTCAAACTTTCCTCTCTGGAACAGATGGAGACTCAGAGCCATTTCTCTGCTTTCTGTCCAAATACAGCATAAAAACTTGAAAAAGATTTATGTCGCAGCTGATTAGTTTTACACCCAGAATGATCACTCATCATATTCTATTCAGATTTTTGGTTATTGCGTTTGTTGAAGGCTTATTCAAATTGGAATGCAAAAATGAGAGAAGCAGAAATCTCAAAAACAATTGAGTTTGTTTTTCAAAGCCAAAACATTCTCAAAAGTCTGTTCCACTGGGTGGAAAAATCTCTTCCTTCAGCCATTTCTGGTCAGACTTCTTTTAGAATTAATAAGTTCTGAGGAAAGGTCACCAAACCAGGACCTTCACTGCACCAGGGAAAGCATGTGGCCAAGTATAGGAGGAGAGTAACTCCATGACAAGAGTGATTTTTCACTGATTCTAGCTCACCTAACATATGACAAGAGCCCCACAGACCACACAGGTGATCTAAGCCTGCTATGATGGACACCTAGGATAAATACTATTATGAATCTCAATATAGACAGGGGAATTTGTCATCTTCTTGCAGCTGGGAAATGTCACCTGCAAGGCCAAATCCTCAGTACTGAGGAACGCTGTCCATGCTTTAAAGGGATAGTGAGCAATCTGTTCAACATTGACTGGCTCCAAGATGGTCAGTTCCAAGGTTGTCTTAGAAGATGATAGATACGTCTTAGAGAATACATGTTATGTTATTTGCTAAGATATACATCTGGTACACACATAGTTCTGCATCTCTAGCTACACTTTAACTTCTTCATTCAGGGGAGATGAAGCTGTGGAACAAAGAGGCACCTCTTGCATGCTCCAAGCCTACTGGTCCTCAATGGGCAAGGAGACCTTAGGAGTGGCTCAGCACACAGCTCAGAGAAATCATCTGCAGTGAATTCCATGTAATTGCATTCACAGAGGATATCTGGGAGTTAGAGGCACAAAGGCGTGTGGGAATTATGCTGGTATTACTGGGAATCTACCCATGAATGACATGATGAGAAAAAAAAAAAAAGAATTTTTAAGGTCAGGTGCACATTACATTTTAAAGTCTAATAAAATCAAAAGGCTGATGCAGTTCTAAGGTAAGTATATAACTAGTACAGATAGAATTCTTACTCCCTGAAAAGAGTCAGGGCAGGAACTGCAGTGCTTCAGCATGTGATTGTTGGAGCATTGCACAGAAGGTTATTGCCTCACTGACTGATGTGTGCAGGGCTGTGTAAAGCCATTGGGATCACTGAAGAACACTTTTCCTCGCTGCAGGAGGATAAAAATAAGAGATCTGTGGAGCCCAGTTGAACCATTAAAAAGTGAGAGAGCTTTACCATCCACATCATTCTCTGTGAGCACCAACCAACCACTTTTCTTCTCCAGCCATTTTCTATAAACCGGAGGAACAATTGCGTGAAGTCACAAAGCTCTGCTGAACATGGTCACAGCTTAATGTTTCATCATCATGGGATTGTTTAGTCTGGAAAAGAGGCTTAGAGGAGACCTTATTGCACTCTACAACTTCCTGAAGGAAGGTTGTGATGAGGAAGGGTTGGCCTCTTCTCCTAGGCAACAAACAGAACCCGAGGAAATGGCTGCAAGTTGTACTGCAGGAGGTATGGGTTAGACATAAAGAAAAACTTTTTCTCTCAGAGAGTGGTCAGGCACTGGAATGGCTGCCCAGGGAGGTGGTGGAGTTGCAGTGTTCAAGAGGCGTCTGGATGAGGAGCTACGAGATATGGTTTAGTGCTTGTGGTAGCAATGGTAATGGGAGGACGGTTGGACTGGATGATCTTGCAGATCGTTTCCAACCTTGTGATTCTATGATCAGAGTGTCACAGCTGAGCTGAACACAAGCATTTCTGCAACAACTCAACGATGTGTAATAGTTTGTTGCTATGAGCACTCGATTCCTTTCACTAGCCTGTCTCTTCCTTTCTGAAGTAGTGCACCACAGTTACATACTACCTGGGCACATCCAGCACCACTTTTTCTTTTCTACATAAAATTGTTTTCTAAATAGTCTGAAAGCATGCTCTGAAACCCATGAGTTTAATTTGGTTAGCTGTGATTGGATATAGTTGCTTTGGAATGGTAACTCTTCTCACAAGGATACAGCCTTTCACAAGACTTGGACCAACGTTATCCCATCTGCACCCAAGCTGAATCTGCACTGTGCTAACTACTATGACTGATAGAATAACAGCCCTCTTACTTTAGCACCCAAGGATAGAACAAAACAATGGGGCCGTGTGTGTTATTGAACCATGAGATGCTTTATGACATACTTACAACTATTTTAGCTGAACCAGTTTCATGGAGAACCAAAATTACTGGATGAAGATTTTCAGAAAGTATTCGGCATTTGGGGGACTCAGCTTCAGATTCCTGTTTTGTTTCCTGTTTCTTTCTCATTTCTATGCGTTTCTCTTTAACCACCCTCTGGAGAGTTCTCTACCCTAGCGGTATCATTTCTTCAAGTCTCTATTTTTGACTCCAAAGAAATTAGTGTATCTGTAGAAGTAAAGGTCCTGCCTCATGCTGTATGAAGGCACAAAACTGATAATTAAGAAGGCTGAGGCTGAAATCCCAGCTCTGCTGAAGCTGGGGAAACCTTACTGTTCTTTGTGCCCTATTTTCGTCACTACACTGCTTTGTTTTATCCCTCTGTGCTTTCCAGTTCTTCTTTTGCTTCTCAATTCTCCATTCAGCTTTGAGCCTTTTACCCAGTGGGAGAAGGGTCAGCAGTGAGAAGTCTATGAAAGAGGGAGCCGCTATTCAACCTGAATGCTCTCAGTCTTCTCCAGAACAAGGTGTGGTTACTGAGAATTTCAACAGCACTTGAGCAATAGATACCCACTCATTTAACCAGCTGCTCACCTGATGCATTCCTGGGGCTAGAAGCAGTTGAATAAGAGTCTATGTGCATTGAAATAACAAATCTGATAGCTGCTGAAGAGTTCTTTTACAGCCAGACTCCACCAGAAAATCTACAGATGGGCAAGAGATTGGTAAAACCTGGTGTTGCCCCACTGGGATGTGAGACTCCTTACAGGTATTCACATTTACCACCAGTGCTGCTGCTGGTTTTGTAGTTTATGCAATCATCTCTAAAAGATACTCAAAGTATTTGTATTCTACATGTTATTCTTTGCCTTGGAGCACTTGGGAAAAGCCTGTGATGATGACTGCGAGTGTAGCAATGATCCTGCAGGACCTGCTTGATCACTCAAAGGTACCTCTTCACAGACACAGACAATAAGAAAATGACAAATTTTGGGGGTCACAGTGGCTGATAAATAATGAACCTCTCCAAGGATTTGCATAGCAACAGACAGACAAGCTGGATTTCTGAAAGTGGAGCTAGCCTAGCCAAGTCTGTCTTTGTAGGGTTTTAAAGCAACAGAAAGTCCTTAACATGTGAAGAAAGGTAGATGTAGTCACTAATTTCAAGCAAGTTACCGTTGGGATTAATGTGTTTCATTTAAAAGCAAGTTGTTTCCCCTCCCCTCAGCTACCCTTTAGCACTGAATGAAGCCAAGGTAAGTGTGCTGTCAGCATCCCTCTTCCCCAGCTACTTATGTGATGGGGTCTGGATTAACTATTATGATTACGTCTCTTTTTCTCCTTTAAGCCAGGTCATCTTCATGCCTTCTTTTTCCTGTTATCTTTCAGAGCATGCTCCTAGAACTATCATCTATCATGAAAAAGTAATGACATTCTGAGGACAAAAGATAAACTAAGGGAATGGGCACAAACCACCTTCAGCAGAAAGATAAAATGCCGATGCTACTGTTCTCCCCCTCCAACCCCTTAAAATGCTAAATTCTAATGTTTAAGGAAGCAAACACGTGTTTCATTCCTCAATTTTACGCCAATCCCAACAATACTGTACTCTGATTGCTGATGTTCACAAGTAGCTTGCTCCGCATTTTATGATTTTTCTCATATAGGCTGAGCTGGATCTTGTCAGTGCATGTTGTCACTGCAGAACCAGCCCAGTGTCTTTGGGACGATGCTTCGGAATGTACAACTTGTTATGCACATGGGTAGTGTTCATATCAGCAACCAGCCTGATGCATAGACCTTAAGGGTAGTAGAAGGCCCAAGACTTCAACAAGGAAAGGTTAGTTTAGTGTGAATGTAATTTGGAAGGCAGTGTGGCCTCTATCTGCCCAGGGCTCAGCAGCCAATGAATAAAAGATGGACCAAGCACAGAAGGAAGCTGAAGAAGCTTGGGCACAGAACAAAATCTCACCTGAAGGATATTCTGCTGCTATTGTTCTGCCTGTGCCAATGCAGTCCTCAAGCTCTGTGAGAGACTTTCATGCTCGTGTGGTGTCTTCATAGTTAATACTTCTGTATCCAAAATTGAAACTAAGTAAAACCAGGCAATTCATTTAAAAAAACACCTGTGCTTTTCTTCAGTTCTGTTTTAGAAGAACTGCGGAACCAGCTCAGGGTCATAAGAATCTTAATCCCATTGCTATCTTATTAGTCCATATAGATTAACTGAAGACAACAAAAGTACAAAGATCTCATTTTGAGTTTGCTAAGACAAGATTTGCTCTGGAAGGTCAGATTTCTGAAGCTTAAAGCAATCCTTCCAGTTGTGTATCCAGAAAATAAAGCACTTTGATTATCCACAAGCCTGTTTTTGGCCACGTGCTCTTGGCTGCTCTTATTTGCCAAGATTATAATAGCTTGCATCTGCCACTGATGTGCTCATCACTTCAGTAGCAAGAACAAGCTTGTTTGCTCTGCCAGTTTCCTTAATCATACAAGTCTTCTATAGGAAAGATAAGTAGACCAGCAGGAAAAAAATGGAATCAAACATAAGGATTGCTTGAAATTGCAGTGTTCTTTAAAGCAAAAAAAGGAAAACGTTTAAGATGGTGGCCGTTAAGTGTAAGCAACAACTGACTATAGATGGAGAAGCTCTTGCTACAGCACATGCCTTGCTCCCAGGCTGTGATGATATGTAGCGGATACAGATTTGAGAGGGTGGTAAGTGTTCTTATGTGCTTGACAGGGAGATTCAGAAAACTGGGGAACTTTGTAAAGCAGTATTTCTGCTTTTCCTCCGTGAGAATTTTCAGGTGAAAAATCACAAGCAACATCCAGTGCTGTCAACCAAACTGGATGCAGCCAACATCCCTTAGGGCACTGGTCCAGGGCACATGATATATGGTTGCTGATCTGGTGATAAAACGCTGGTCCCCAAAGGGGCCACATGGTCTTTTCCTGCCGTGATCTGGTGCTCAGGCTGCATCCAGCCCCATGCAATAAGCAGCTCCCCAGGCTGGTGGCATCTTTTCTTTCTTGTCTGGATTTTATTCTGTGTAAGTGACATGAATGGTCAGTGGCACAGGTTCCTTACTCAGAAAAGAATGCTAGAGTTACGCTCAGAGATATTCAGTCTTTTTTTTTTTTTTTCTTGTTTCTGCATAAACCTCTTCCAATTTCTCTCAAGTTTTCTATAAAGGGGAAATAATAAACCCCAACCTCCCTTCTTGCCATTGTACATGTTCACTGAAACTTTACAAGACAAAGCAAAGACTTAGAAGATTTGCCTTAAGTCAAGCATGAGGGGAATAGGTATAGATACAGAGTGTTTGATCTTCCCAATCAACTTCTTTCATTTCTGCCATGAAACACCTTCGGCTGTTCCTGATCAGATGAAAGATAACCAGATCCCTGCATCAAAGACATCGAGTGAATCTGAAATGCAACCACATGAGTGGAGGTCCTGTTGTAGGCCGCATCCTCCAGGCTGTGCCAGCCACCTCCAGGCCACCCCCAACCAGCTCCAACCCCGTGCAACCAAGGATTGCGACAGCAATTTCAGAGTCAAGATAAG